GTATACTGCACTTCATGAATTATAACCACATGGCAGGCCATAATCCATTTATCTCAATTAAATATTTTTTATCTTTCTACACAAAATTAGGACCACCTAATGTCCCACTGCATCTCATTGACAAGTTCAAGTGTCTCTGGATTGCAGCAAATTTAGAAAACCTTATTTCAGTGTGAAAGCAATCATGACCAATCAGCACTCTAGATAGGTGCGTATTGTTTTCTGCTGCTTCCTTGACCATCCTGTTGCTTCCTGTTACTATATAATCGCCATGAGAATCACATGTGTGGCTTCTAATAAACCATTTACAGCGAAACCTGCGTTTCCCTATAAATACAGGTTTCTTTTCCTCCTAAACTGATTTCAGCCTCTTTGCAGGAGGAAGCAAAGCATTTTAATCCACCTATCAGAGGGTGCATGCAAGGTAGTTATTTGTATAGATACAGAGCACAGTGCAACTTGAAATTTCATACAATTTTTTTTTAGCTTGTTGCACCTGTAATTGTAAAAGACCTTTAAATTACAGTCAGAAGGAAATATAAGCGGAAATCTGAAATCTGGTGTTTTTAGTTTTTTGTTTTTTTTACTGATCATGATGAGATGATTTTCTGTGTTATACCACAATTACCTTAAAATGTGCTACTCTCACTGCTGAAAATGATATCCAGGTCTGATCTTTGACAATATACTAAATAAATTTAGCTTTTGAGTTGCAGCCTGAAGAACTGGTATCGACAACATCACTTGGTATCCAAGTAACCTGCCTGTTTATGCGATTTGGAGGTGTGCGTGTCTCCTCAGGTGAGAAAACTGTCGATAAAACCACAATGCGGGGGGGGGGGGGGTTTTTTTTGAAAGGAATTTTTTGAGATCCTTTTCATAGCAGCCAGAGAAGTGGCAGAACCACAAAGCTGTGCCAAAGTAATGTTACCTGTTATATCAATGTACAATCTTTGCCCATGTTTTGGGGGCAAAATATGGGGTTTTCAAGTGCAATATTGGCTTAAAATGTATTTTCTTTTGCCTACCACAGATGTTATAGTGAGTTCTGTATTGGTTTGAATACATTTTGGGTTAGGAGACCCTGAGCGCTACAACGAGCACCGCCATGCTCAGGGCAGCGTTTCGTTGCACTGGCAAAAGCAAACTGAACCATTTGCTGATTGAGGAAATTAACCATTTCGGCCATAAAAACCATCAACTGCACACCTCTTACACTGATTAATCAACATGAAAACACTTTAAAAATACAGTGCAGTTAAACTCCAGAAAAAAAATATCCCCAGGGAGAAGGACGTGGAAGTAATCAATTAATAGAAAATTATAGTATTAATGGACTTTCATATATCTCTGCCCTGATATAAATGTCAGCATTTACTTCAGGTTCCTGTGGAAAACTGCTGCAATTCTTTTAAACCTAATAAAACATTCAAAAAATCTAGACAAAAGCAAGCCATTATAAAAGCCTGTGTGTGTAAGTAAAACATGCTTTTAACTTTAAAAGTGATCAATCCCATGGCTGATTGATCTCCAAGTGAATAATGAGGGGGTTTCTTTTGTCAGGTCTTTAACGGTTACTGATAATCAGCCTAAGGAAAATATGCCCTTCTTGACCTTATTCATCTAACCTTTGACCTTTTTTGAGTAGTGACTCCCAAAGCCGCAGCTCGCTCACAGTGTTGTGTCTGTGTGAATCAATGAGGTTTACGGAGCTCCAACATAAAGGCATTGAGGAATAAGCAGTAGGATAACCTTGAACTCTTAACTCTTAGGGCTTAATTTAAGAAATGTAAAAGGATAAACTGAGACTGAACTAAGGGCAAAAACATTAAACTGGAGTTTCTTCAATATCCATATCTAGCATAGTGTGGTTCCTGTAAGCAATCCATATTTTTTAAGCAGTTCAACCCACAGTTATTTCCCCAGGAGCCACAATCGATGTGCCAAATTGAGTGCTGTTTGCAACAACTTTGCATCAATAAAAGCTGGAACAAGGCTGTGCATCAACATCAAGATCCTCTGTGGAATGTTAAACCTGAAACACCCTGTAGGTTTACTGCAAATAATTATTTGCTTTAGCAATTACTTAATAATTACTGAAACAAAGGAACGAAACAAAGGTCTGCGAACCTCTGGAAAAACAAGTCTGAGGAAAAAACAACAACAACACAGCATCTTGCAAAGACATTAAAAAAAAAAGGAATGGATGTGAAATACACTGCTCAAAAAAATAAAGGGAACACTCAAATAACACATCCTAGATCTGAATGAATGAAATATTCTCATTGAATACTTTGTTCTGTACAAAGTTGAATGTGCTGACAACAAAATCACACAAAAATCACGTTCCCTTTATTTTTTTGAGCAGTATATTTTCCCTGAAGAAATTAATGCTTCACACTCTCATTTTAAAACCCACGGTTTGGAAAAAAAATCTCACAAAAGGCATTAAGAGCATCAACGATATGCAGACTTGACACCCCAAATGGATTTAACGATCGCTCCGGCCTGAAATGCTTTTAGTTGCTGGTGAGACTGCTGACCTGTCCAGGGTGTTCTGACCTCTTGCCCATTGATTACTTGAGATAGGTACCAGACCCCCACCCCCTCAGCAAACCCGAGTGAGCGGATACAACAGATAGATAGACATACACAGAGTAATGGACTGATCCATGAACAGTTGAGATAATCAAAAGTAGCACAGACACAAACAAAAACTGTACAGTAGTGCAGAAAATGAAGGGTTAAAATAAAGAAGAAAACTACTGCAAAAGGTTATGAGGGTGAACTCCTCTGTCCAGGTCACGGGTCAGTCTCAGCCTTGAGCAACGAGTTCAAGACTCTAATTTATAAGCAGCTGGACGGAGCAGGACATGGATGGATGGGGGCCTCATCTACAATGATGGAGTAAATGCTGCAATTTAAGGAAAGAGCTGAACCAAAAAGCTGTCAATTTACTGATCTCATACGCTTTGACTCTAACGTATGGCGACGAGATACGGCTAAACAGTGGGCGAAATTAAATTCCTCCATTGAGTGGCTGACATAAGGTAGAGAATTTTAAGGACAATTTCTTTCTTTCTTTCTTTCTACGCTCAACAGGGGAAGCTGCCAACTCCTCCATTTAGATTACAGTAAGCAGATGAACAAAACTTTATATCATGCATTCTTGTTTGCTTTTTTCTACAGTTTGCTTTCTGTAGGTTTATGAAATGCACCATAGAAGCCAAAGCGTGACCTGACCATCAAGCGAATCATTATGACCCAAACCAAGCAAATTTCAGGAACAAGATACTTCACATTAGCTTGGATAAGCTAATATCCAAACAAATCATTGGGAAATGCACTTGAGCTTGCCTTAAGCTGACTGGGTCCAACATGCCATATAATTTACTGCTCTTTATATCCAAGCCTCTCAGAATTTTGTTCTCTGACTTTTCCTGAATTGTGTGTGATGAATGAAATGACCTCACAAGTCAAGTCAAGCTCCCGTGTAAGAAGAATCTGGTGTCATATAATATTTGACTGACCCGAGTAAAATACCAAAGCTGACTAATGAAGGCTCTCCTCTGACGTGGTTAAGCGTGTCTTCATTGTAATAAAGTGAAATGTCACGTTTTTTTTTTTTCTTTAAGATTTACAGAAGAAATGCTTGACAAAGAGAAAGAGAAAGTGAGAGAGAGAGAGAGAGAGAAAGTAACAGCTTTAATCTCTATCGATGGATTTTTTTTTTTAACTATTTGACTTGGGGTAAGAAATTCCTTCCTTGGAAATACGGAAACTAATATTTCTGTAATGCTAACCACGCTAAACGTAGCAACCAGAAATAATCTCCACTCCCAACAATCATCCGAGGACAAGTGAACAATGGATAGAATGCAACAAAATTACTAATAAATAATTGTTGACTACTTTTGACATGAAGGCTATAAAATAAATGTTTTTGACGATATCGATGAGTTGCCAGATTGAGCTGCCGCTCTGCCCGTCCTCTGGTGATGGTCAGAGGATCCAGTTGCAGTGACTGTATGACAGTTTCGCTTCCGTCAGTCGCTTACAATGTAGCTTACCTAAATCAGTGTTTGAATGGGTATATGGACCACTGACGGCAGCACAACACACTTCGGAGTCCTTCGGAGGCCATTCGCCACGTTTTCAATGTGCTGCACGTCTTCCTATTGTACTCAGTAGTTCTTAAAGAGCAATCAGAAACAGCTGAAAAAGTGCCGGCAGGTCATAGCTGCTGGTTGGAAATCAGCGACAACGCACGTTTACACTTCATCCAAATGCTATAATGAACTGACTTGTTTAAGAGACAACTTAATTTCAGTCGAGATGCTGTTGGTGATTCTTCCAAATCCTCTTTCACAGATTTTCTTATTCTTTCTTTTGTTGTTTTCTGTCTTGCCATTGCAGCAGTTTGTGCTGCCTGCTGCCACTGCACTTTAATCAGCTACTCCACCCCTCGCTGAGCTCACAGCTCCTCTGTGGACAGTCTGTCCTTGCATGCCTCTGTCACACACACACACACACACACACACGGACAGAAAGGCTCATACACCTAAATCACTGCACCGTCATTTTCTGCCAGCCACACTCTCCCATCTCACAGTTGAGTGGAAAGATGAGCTGCCTACTTCTCACGGGGCAGAAGGTGAAAACACACACATTCGTGCAGAAATAATCGCACACACAGTTGAGCATCTACACCACCAAAAGTCTCTGTCACACGCGACTGGCTTCCAGCATATGGATATTCCCTTTTCGCTTTCAATCAGGGAGCCTGGCCCAAAACCCCTGGACCTGCCAGCGTACCAGTCGCCTCTCTGAGATTGGATCCAGAGTTCCAGGCACAGACTGGAAACAAAGCCAGCAGAGAGAAGCTGGCATTTTTCCTCACGAATCCGCTGCACGGCTGAGTACAGATGTTAGCCTCAGCATATGGCGGCCGTTGTTTCTATGAGGTGTCTGCACTCTGGCTTCACCTGGCCCAGACTTACCGATCTCGCAGTTCTCTCCAGAGTAGCCCTGAGGGCAGTAGCAGCTGTAGCTGTCGCCTTCCTCCAGGCAGCTCCCGCCATGGAGACAGGGGCTGGTCTGACACGGGTTACTCTCCACTGTACAAAGAGATGGACAGAAGGTATAGGAAGGTTAACTTCAAGTTATTTATTTATTTATTTTTTTTAAGAAAAAGAATTACAAATGTTCCTTAATTAGCTGGAACATGAGCAGCAGCAAGTCATTGTCTGACAGACGGCCCAGGCTGTCTAATAGAGATGGAGCAGCAGAGTGGGCTGACAGAACGTTGATTTGTCCTCGCCTCTCTTTCTTTACACAAGGTGAAAGATCATATCTGTTCGAAAGAGTTCCCCCTCTTTCCTGTTGTTCTTTTCTCTCGCAACTCAAGCACTCCCAGTGAGTTCACGTCCAAATTAATTAGTTGCTCATAAGTGGCGCAGAAATCCATTTATATTCTATATATATTGCCATTGTGCACCAAGTGCAATACACTCATTTTAGGTTGCTGGCAATTGCTCCGTGTTCTCTTCATGGCAAATGCTTTGGCGGATAAATGCTGGAGATTGAGAGGATTAAGTTATAATCACTGCTCTTAAATTTTAGAAGGGGACTGACAGAGAGAGAGAGAGAAGGAGACTACAACAAGGACAGTTAGAGCAAAGAGTGATTATCACAGAGTTTCCTACTATTATGTGTGCAAAAAGAGAGACTGTTAGGCACTAGGTAGATTAAGTGTCTTTCTAATTTCTAGTCCTGATAGGATTGCACGGCCCTGACACAATCTGTCAAGCCATCTAATATACAGCGTTCTTTTTCCGTAATAACACCCAGACTCACTTAATGATGTATGAGCATGGGGGACGCAGAGCGGAGCACAGAGTGCAATACATGTGGAAGTACGGAAATGCCCTCAATTAGGTGTGAGCTTGTTTATTCATGCAGACGTGTGCAAAGATAAGCGAGTGCATATCAAGATACGTACATGTCTAACCGTAACTACGGGGCTATAAGACAAAAACAACACGTACGTTGTATTCCACAAACTTTTCTGTATTTTCTTTTGATTTTATGTGAGGGAAATGATGCATACAGCTTCACACAGTGGAGCCAGCATTAGTTCTTTGTGGCCGGCAAAGCAATCTAGAAACGGAGGCTTTTACCCATTCTTCATTGCAAAACAACTCGAAATTCAGTCGCATTGGAAAGTTTCAGTGAACCGCTATTAAAATCTTTAGATTCTGAAGAGGGTTTAGGTTTGGACTTTGACTGGGACATTCTAACATGACTGTGATTTAATCTAAGCAGCTACGGCAGCTCTGGTTTCATGTTTAAAGTTCTTGTCCTGTGAAAACTTCACCCTGGTGTTAAACTTTATGCAGCAGTCTCCAAACCACTTTTCTTACAGTCCTGATCAAAACTTAGCTCCATTCGTCTTCATCCAACAATTCAAGAGCATAGTTCCCACAGCATGCTGCTGCCACTGTCAACACTATGGGAATGTTGTGTTCTGGGAGGAGTTCAATTATGAAAGGAAAGTAGATCTGGACATTCTCAACACACTACGATTCTTTTGTGTTGAAGTTTGTCTTCCCCTCCATGGAGCCTGTGATTTGGTGAAATGCTACATGCCCAAGAGTCACTTTGAAAAAGTTCAGTTCTCATTAGAAACAGAAAAAGAATCAGGTTACTGTAAGTGTATTTGCCAGGATACACTAATTATCTCAAGATTTATAGCTTTGCCATGTCAAGTTAATTACTAAGTTGGTATGATGACAAAATTAGCTTTTAAAATAATCATCCTAAGATAACATCACTAAATATAATTTCTAAGAATGTACTTTCTCAATTTCTCAGTTTAAAAATACCAGCAAAAAAGCACAGAAAACAAATAAAACATTTGTGGAACAAATTAGAATAAAGCTTGTGCAAGTGTCCACTTTTTAATTAGGGGATAATTAGATATTACATAACGCGATAAAGAACACGTAAGCTTAGAAACCCGATGCATTTTTGCAAAGTGTACGACCCAAGTGGAAGGAGGAGGCAGGCAGAATCATGGTGCAGTTGAGTAATAAAGATAAATGACTTTAAGAAAAACAAAAAAAAAACAAGGTGCATGAATGGGAATGAGAAGACGTAAAGGTCAGCACAGACTGAGGCAACAGGGAGATCTAAATCAAAAGCGAGTGAACGGAGAGGTTTCAATTTTGGGGATGTCGTTACTGGAATGTAAAACAAATGAGTCAGATTAGCGGATGAGCAACAGCTGAGGCAGAACAGGGAGCTGAGGCACAGAGGGGAAGTTATGGGTAAATCCTGGAAACGCTGAAACAGGGGAAATAAACGGTAAAGTTTCAGAAATATTCACTGAACAGAACATGAATTAAACTCTTCCCACCAAAAAAAAAAAAAAGAAAAAAAATGTCTCTGTTTAGGCTTAAAATAAATAAAAACAGAAAACTTTTGTAAAACATGTTGGATACATTGTCTTCTATGGGATGTTGCTATCTGTGGGGGGGGGAAAGACATAGTTTCTAACCTAATGAGAAGAAGAACAAATATAAAAATATAATTGGTACTGTTAGTGCCATTCTGTTAGGAGATTTCATTGCAGGTATTTTATTAAAATAAAAACGGAAAAAAACTGTTTAAAACCATGAAATGAATCTTTGGTATTTTTCACCGAAGTTATTAAGAGCCACTATGGAAGGTCCAAAGAGCCACACGTTGCAGTCAACTAAGACTTAATCTTTGGGACTTCTTTGGTTCGTCTAAACATTTAGTAAAACTACTTCCTTCAAAATCCTATTTATCTCAATAATCCAAACATCAGCATTATAATTACTGAGATGAAGGTTTCGAATGCTCATCTGAAGTCTGCTAGACTACAATTATGTAAACTACAGTATTCTATAATCCTGGATCATGAAGGATAGCGAGATCTTATGAAATGTACAAACCCAACATAAAGAGACGTACGAAGGTGTTTCGCAGACATCGGTTTGACTTTACTAAGTTCTACAATAACCCCATATTCATTTGATTTGTAGTCTTTCACTTTAGATGAAAATATTCAACAAAAACAACAAAAAAGCTAATTTGAAAACAAAGAAGTTGTCAGTTGTCAGGACTTAGTATTTATTTTTCCTGTTTCATCTGTTTGGACCAAAAAAAATAAAAAATAAAAAAATCACAGTTTCTTTTCATGTTGCTTTTACCGAGATGTAAATCTGCACAGTTCTACAATGTTCACAGTCATCGCCCCGCATTGCCGGCATTTATTTACATCTATAAAAACCTGGGATTTTCATTAATATTATGAGTTAGGTCTATATTAACGTTAATCAAGCATACACAGTTGAAATATATGTTGCATTTTGTATGCAAATAGGAAAAACGGACATAATTTGGCAAAGCTCTGACTGCTACATGGTGGAAAACTTCTTCTACTACAATGTAACGTATGTATGTGCATTGGTGGTATGTATGCATCACTGCTGTTGTGTAGCTTAATACCTTAAGGCTGATTTGTGACAACAGTTGCATGGGGTTAAATGACTTGTGATGGTATAGCTGGACAGTTAAAACCTTGCAAAGATATTCACTGTTTCACACTGGAACCATATACCACAATGTATTTCATTTATGCAACACACAGAAGCCCAAGATTGTAGTGTAAAAAAAAAAAAAGAAGAAGTTGTTCAAGTGCTAAGAATAGTCTTGCCTTTGTCCTTCCAAAATGCAAATCTCCTGCAGATTGTTTCGAAGGGTAGTAGGCAGCGTACTGACAACGTTATTCTTTCGTCTGCGAATCCCTGCACGCAGCATTAGTATAACACCTCAAACAGCAGGAATGTGACCGCTGAGACAGACACATGTGTCCTCCAAGTAAAAAAACTGTGGTGGTGGTGGTACACATAGAGTATAGCTGACAGCTGAGCACCAGTTCATCAAGCTGTCATAGTAAGTAAGGTCTCAGGAGCCGCAGACGTGAGCTCCTCACGGCCGTTTCTGCTGTCAGTCATTCCATAGTGGGTGATAAAGTAGCTGCAGCTCCTGCTGCAATCTCCATTAATGCAACACACAGCACTTTTTTTTTTTTACCGCTGCTAAAAAAAAAAAAAAAAAAATCATCAGTCATTCGAAGCTGTTTGGGTTTTGAGAACATTTTGATGGTTTGTATTTACTCCTCTGAGGCTGAGCATGTTCTTACGGCTCTGAAAGCGTCCTCCTATTGGTTCAATTTCCCCTTTGAAAGAAACCATTTCTCAGCCTAATTAAATTGGTCCTAGCGAAATTGCCTTAATAATGACTTTAAAAGGACTTGTCCTCTAGCAGCTATCTGCGAGAAGTGAAATATGGCGGTCGCGCTGTCTGTGGTGACACAGTGAGCCGAGCTGCAACAGAACAGGACATTGATCCAATCTGCAGACAATTAGTAACGACTTATTACACCCAAATGGGGCTGTGTTCATCACCATCTGTCCACGAAGAACAGCCTGCAGGCTCCGTGGTGAAACTCCAGGAATCGATCGTGTGACGAAAGCAACATCTTACCACGAAGAAAATGCTTACCTTGAATACACAAACTCTCGCGGCTGGTTTTGTGTTCAAATATTTATATTAGTACGTTTTCTTTTTTTTTTTAGTTTCCCAATACCTTTTGCTGTTTAATGAGGGATGATTGAGCAAAACTTTAATATGCAAAAGAAAAACAGATTAAAAGAGCATGAAAGAGGGGAAATGGGATAGGGAGATGCCCTGGTCTGCAAAAAAAAAAAAAAACGGGATGAGAGGATTAAAATTTAGCATGAAGAAGAGGGTGAGAAAAAAAACATCATCTGGGGGGGAGGGAGGGAAGCTATCATACATTTCTTCGTGTCTTAATGCTGGCTGCAGCTTATGATTAATTACACACCAGTCTTAAAATAGGTTGCTTCCCCATTTCCCTACTTTGTGTCTGTCTTCTGCCACACAGAAAAAGAAACAGAGGAGAGAAGAGTCCAAAGAAGGGCATGGATGTCCTGCGCAGAGCAGGATGAAACAGACAAACGGAGAAGGGCAGACACAGTAAAAGAGAGATTACATAAGACTCTCA